TATTTGGAGATAAATATAATTAAAAACATGTTATAGTTAAATTGACAAAATAATTAAAATTAACTAACAATTAAGTCCCTCAAGTATAAATTCGTCAGTCTCTGCATCGGGAGCGACACGAGATGGTAAGGGAGTATTAACTGCAATAGCGTAAGGACTATGTTTATGTTTTTTCTTTTTTTCGTCTTCTACAACAGTTGAATTGTTTCTGGTTAAAAGATTGCTACATAAAAATAATTTTGGAGATAGTTGTTTTCGATCTAAGACAGCTATGGATCGAGAACGAAGTAAATGAGTCCTGCATATAGTTGGAATTTGCCTGATTAAAGTCATAACAAAAAAGTTGTACAGATCGAGATGTTTGATGATTTACTTGTCAGTTTTATAGATAGGAATTATCTTTTGTCTGATTGGTTGATGCAATTCAATTTCTTATTTATATACCGATACTGTACAAATTTCACTAACGATAATAAAAATACCCTAGCTTACCAAACAATTATCCTATTTACTTAACCATGCACAATTGCTGTATGTCGAAGATAACTAAATCACTTGAAAAAAAAGTGTTTGAAAATGTTATCACGAACCAATGCGTTTTACCCTCTTACATTCAAAATAAAAATGATACGATTTGTTTCGTAACGGAAAGGTTAATAACAATGCTTGAATTGAATTCCAATATGCCCAAACTGATTAACTTGAAACTGATGGAACTATTGAAACTAAGTAATAACTTTGTGGATGATCCGAAACTAAAGAGGCTAATGAAAATGAGAATACTAACTGTTTGTCTTTCTTTAAGGTTGATAGAGGCAATAGCAAATATTTTATATATTTATGAAAATAAAAAAGAGAACAAACATTATACATTTGGCAAATTTTCAGGCAAACATGAAAGGTGTGAGATTGAAAATTTTGACAAGTTATATTTCTCTTCTCATTAATGATGCCCGACGAAACTCATGTGACCTGCGAAACCATATAGTTTCGTCAATTCGTCAATGACGAAACATATGAGTTTCGTCAATTCGTCAACGGCAAAATAGGCATCTATACTCCTCATCTAATTTGTTATCAAAAAAAAATAGATTTTTAGGTGGTGAAAAGGCGGCTTATATGAAAGAATTTTAAACGTAATATGCGAAAATAAATTAATAAAAAAGGATTCTATTTGCATGACATTTTTATGACATTTTCAAAATACACGCGATTTATTATCCCGAACAACTTTACTTAAGGCATAAATAATTTTAATATATAGCTACTTTTTATATAAGTAATTCAACCAATAAAATTACTTTATATGCAAATGACCCAAATGACCTGATCTGGTCATTATTTGATGACTTGGGGTCATTTTTTTGATCAAATGACCTGGTCATTTACCATCCCTGTTCATTATAACGATAATTAGTTTTGCATATTCTTATTTGATTCATTTAGAAGGTATATAGAAATATAAGCTTTAGTAGGCTGAAATTTTTTCATTGGTTGAGCTAAAGGAAACGAAATGAAAGCCTTCAAGCCATACTCTACGAATTTTCAGAAATGTCCGTCTCTTGCTTCAACTGGGTCCTGATTTAGGTTCAGAATCCGAAAAATTGTAAATTAGTTCGACGTTGGATACTGAATCTTAGTTTAAAATATAGAGCTGACTTTTAAATACATAGTAATGGAAAAAATTTTTTAACTATTAATTAATTTCTTATACCCTGTCATTAACCTAAATATATTATGGTATCGCAAGGAAAACGCATTAAATGAAATAAACATGTCATTATATCGCACACAAACAATTACATTTAATACTGTAATAAAATAAAACAGCGTGTAAACTTTTAAAATGCGAAAACATAGAACCTATACGCCTGAGAAATGGTCATAAGGAATGAAGCTAGAAGAAAACGAAAAATCTTAATGACTCAAAATCAAAACAGCAACTAGCGTATAGAAAAAATGAATCAGAAAAAAGGTTAAGTTCGTCGCAAGCGTCAGTCAACAACTAATTAGAAGAGCAAAGTGAAAGCCTTTCAGGCCTTATTTTACGGAATTTTAGAAAGTCCGGCACCCGTTTCACCCTAACCAAATTTCAGATTCAACAGCTGATTTTTAATAGTGTATATGACTGACTTTTTTGCTGGAGCTGGGGGGAGAGAAATCAAGCCTTATTTTACCGAATTTTAGAAATGTTCGGATCTAGTTTAGTTACCTCTAATTCAGGTGCAATATCCAAAAATTGAACCGGAATTGGGTTCAACATTTGGATACAACCAAAATCATGTACGTAATCGCATCTTAAATTTCTGAGTTTAATATAACAGAATTACGAATACAAAATTTTCGAAAAAATAATCGAAGTTTTATTTATTCAAATTGTTCATTCAAGAATTTATTTAATTTATAGCTACTGTCACGATTTCTTGGGTAAAATCGTGACTGGATAATGTACGGGTGGTAATGAGAGTGTGTATAAGCCTTAAGTCACACAAATTGTAATGGGGCTAAGTAAATATTAAGGCTTAGGTTATAAAGGGACATAATATTTATTAATTCGTCATTTTTGTTTATTTTTATATCTGAAGATTCTTACTTGTTATTAAGGCGGAGTGACTAGAGTGAATCAAAGCTTAGAAAAAGGTTGGAGGAAAGTAAGGCGGAGTGACTTAATTGTTAGTTAATTTTAATTATTTTGTCAATTTAACTATAACATGTTTTTAATTATATTTATCTCCAAATA